CGGTGTCACGCAAACGCTGAACTTAAGACCCGGAGGGTGGGAACACCACCTCAGAGACAGCCACGGCACCGAGAGACGAGCACAGTCCTGGCTTTTCTCAGTCGATGCTCAGTCGCTCCCGGTTCTCCCAGAGCCATGCGTGGTACACGTTTAACTTGTGGTCCTGCGGCTGCACCTAAAACACGGTGGAAGTGTTCGACGTTTATTAAAACACCTTCTCTTCAAACACCCCACCGCTCTGATGTATTTCCCCTCCCAGCCCAGGACATCCATACCTCACTGGGAGCCGTGCCACCGCAGCCCGACCTCGCCTCTGCAAGCCGAGGAGCATGGTGCTTGGTCAGCCCCAAAACCACCCACCCCAAGGAATCGGGAGGGGGTTCTACGCCCAAGAGCAAAACTGTCCCTCGCCTGCCCCACAGCTGTCCTCCAGGAGAGGAGCCCAGCACAGCAGAGGCCCCACCAGCCCTGATCTCGGAGGGATGCCAGGATCTGGCTGGCAGGAAACAGGGAACCGGTCCTTAACCAGAGCAGGGAAGAGAGTCTCACCCCCATATCAAGAACTCAGTGAAAGTGAATAATTACGGGGTGGGGGAATCAAGGCGACACACACCTTCATTTACAGGTTCAGACTTGTAAAAGGTACATTCTGGGAGTCCAACCTACTGCCGATATAAAAATTGCTTGGGTTTTCTTTTTTTAATCCAAGGGAGTCCACAGGTGCAAGCTCAACGAAGCCAAAGGACAGAGCTCCTCGGCCAGCAGCGCTCAGTGGCCCAAGTCCCAGCAGCACGGCCACACCACCCACCTCTTTCCATTCGTTCACACAGAAGATTCTGTAGGAGTCGTTCCCATACTTCCCGATCCCGTGCAGCTCAATGGGGTACTTCCACCGCTTGCTCAGGTACTCATCTGCAACATACAGTCACAGACTTCACTGCCTGCGGGCAGGCAGGTCGCAGAAAGCAACTCTGGACAAAATGATTCTCTGCTGTTTTAACACATCTCTGCTTTGAAACATTTTAAATGAAAAACACAAGTTTTAGCAATTTCCTGGAGAAAGTAGGTGATGAATCCCTGTGGGGTATATCTTAAGCACCTTTTAAACAAATCACTGCAGGTAAGTTTTAATCAAATCTCTCTTCTCAGAGCTCACAGAGGGATACTTAGAATATAAGTAGAGAAAATATCAGAATCATAGAAAAATTCCATCTGGAAGGGCTTTCTGGAGGTCACCTGATGCAAAGCACAGCACAGCCACCTTATCACAGTGCTGCTCAACACAGAATCAGTCTTGCATATGTTTGTATCTTGTTCCACTCAAAGGTCTCTTGCAGAACTCATTATTTCATTCTCATTTAAGACAACAGGATCAGCAGCTTTGCACACGTTAAGACTAACACATCCCAAAGCTGCATAAAATAAACCATCACCACCATTTGCCAAACAAGGGAAAGTCACAGAGCGCTGTTTGAAAATAATGCTGTTTGCCTTGCTAGTATAATTTAGATCATTCCATAGACACCTTCAGGAAAACCTACCTGAGAACTTGATGATAGTTTTTGCTCTGAGTTCATAGAGGCCGAGAGGTTTGAGCAGCTCTGACATTTCTTTCCTGTCTGCAGTCCTGGCTATTTCAGGAGAAGGATACTTCTTAAGGAACTCCCAGAGCACAGGAATTGCCATTTTACCTAGTGAAAGAAATAATCTTGAACAGAAGACCATGCAGGTAGTTCTCTTTTTTGATTATCTATGTATGCTTTTTCAAGTGAGATTTTTCTGAGGCAAGAGTTGCAAACTAAAGTTTTGGGTTCTTTTTGGGTTTTTTGTTTGTTTGTTTTTTTAAACACTGACATAAGTTAATATACTTTTATTCTTTCATTAATGCCATTTAAAAAATGGCAGCTGTTCTGACCCTATAACACTGCCCCAACATTTACACAACATGAAACTGTATTATTCTCTTTACCTGAAGTTTTATTGAGAAATATGGTTGCAATGAGAAGTTTCCATGGATCATGAAAAAGTGTTTCTTGAACCAGATTAAAAGGAGAACGTGGAGGAGTCCATTTTCTGAAGGCCTTCCTTCTAGGTGGGCTGGGAGCTATACAAAGAGGCAATACAGGAAAATTTATTGGGCAGTAAAGGATGTATTTACCTATTTAAGTGAAAATAATTTTTAAAAATTAAGACCTTATGAAGCAGATTCATCTTTGTGGGGGCACTATATGTGGATGGAGCAATGTCAATTCACACAGAAATTTTACACAACTGCAAGGGACTATGCGTCCCCTGGCACAGACTGCAGTAAGAGTCAAGGCTGCCTGCATGTGCCCCTGTGTTCCATGGTACATGTATTTTCTGAGGAGACAGGCCCTCCCCAGCTACCACCATGCCCCTGTGCAGGTGCAGAGCAGCAGCCACAGGGTACAGGGTTTCCCTCTGACAGGGAAAACACCTCAGCGGTCTGAAGAGAACTTCCCCAAAGCCCATTCACCCCGTCACCTCACAGGTGCTAAAAGAGCTGCTGAGGCATTTGATACCAGCCTTAATGGTTGTTTGCAAGGGACAAACCACCAAGGTTTAAAATGGGACAAGATCAGCACTAGTGCAGTAAGCTGAGCTCTCTGATGCCACCTAAGCATGGCCAGCCTAAAACTGGAACAGATTTTCCATAACATCATTTGATCTTGAGCCATCCTATTCCCGTTCCCTACAGAATATTATACCTTCTTTACTGTATTTACTTGAAAAATATGGACTCGTTTTCCTCTTACGCACTTGTGTTCGTGGGATAGACTCTTCTGTAAAGAAATAATACTTTAGCATTAAAAAGAAGAAAACCCAAATATTCTGCTGTCACGTTTCATACACCATTTCCACTTTATGTTGTGATGGAAATGCAAGGATTTCTTGTAGGTGTATGCAACAGAGATGTGCTTTAGAGTCACTCCAGTACTCTCTATATTTCAACTCTACGATAAAAATCTTCGGAAGATAAACTGTTTCTTTGCCACAGTTTGAGGAAACAGATTGTAGCACATGAAATAAGCTAAAGGTAGCCTTTTCTATGAACCAAACTGACCAACTGTGCAACAACATTAAAAGAGTGCAGCAAAGGTAATGAACATTATTATATTATACTAAACAGCTAAAGAGATCAGTAGAGTAAGTTCCAGTTGTGAATAAGTCTGCATTAAGTTAAATCCTGTTGGATAAAGAAATGAGACAGATTCAGACATCAAAGCAGTTTCACCCGAAACAGAATACTTTGCTCATACTGTTAGGAGAACCCCTGGCAGAACGTTAAGATAATATTCTGTGAAAAAACACACAAATACCTGGTGGCATTTTATCTGCTGTGAAGCTTTTCTTGTCACGTGGCTGCAAGACATTAGCGTCCATTTTGGTGTCAGAACTAAAATCCTGGCTACCTGGATTCCCTTGCTCTGCCTCTTTCCCCATTTTCAATCCACTGGTTTTGTCCTCAGATTTTGCAGAAGAGGCATCATTAGAACTCGTCTCCATACATTCCTCCTCTGCTAGGCTCTCCAACGCCCTTTGCGAGCGTGTTGTCAGTGACCTTATACGTGACTTGGAAATTCTTAACAGAGTTTTTCCCGCATCCATAGGGTCTGCATTCTGATCATCCATGCCCCAACTATCAGTGACACACATGTCTGTCCTTCTACAGAGTTTCTTGCTTTGAATACACTCTGTTTGCTGTTTGTTACATATTCTTCTCTGCCTTTTATTTTGGGTATTATCTTGATTCCTCTTTTCTGAGCTCTTTCCAGTTTTCTTATTCTGAGCACTTTTTCCACCTGCCCCCTGTTTTTTGGTTTTCAAACAGTCCTCTGGATTTACGCCTTTCATGATCACATCTTTGCTTTCCAGAGTGGATGTAAGGTCTTCCAGGCGTTCATTTCCAGTCTGAATATTTTGAATTCTATCCTCTTCACCATTTTGTATGCAGAGGTCTTGCACTTGACTGTGACAATCCTCATTCCCTAAAACAGCTCTCGCTGCTTTTGTGCCAGCCCTTTTCCCCCTCGAACAGGTACTCCTCTGATAACAAGCCGTAAAATCAAAATCTTCTGCTTTTAGTGTTGTCTCCCCAGTTTTCCGAAAATACTCCACAAGTGCACTTTTCGATCTTATCTTATTTCCCTCAGGACTGTGGTACGAAAGAAAAGCAAATTAGTGATGATTTCTTCATTCTCTCGCTCTTCACTTAAAAAACTATTCTAGTATTTAAAAAAACAAAACAAGCAACAAAAATAGTTGACAGCATCATGTCTATACAAGGTTCTGTGACTTTCCCAGGAAAGGCTTACACAAAGAGTTCACAGATAATCCCCCACACGCCACGCACTTCATCTCATGAACTCCACGTACGGCCTACACGTGCATTTACATGCGACCGCGCACTACC